TCCCCTCAGGAAACAGGAGCATGACTACAGAGTCTGGTGGTTTCTCTCTGGATATAGCAAGTGAGCATGTATGAATAATCTCTTCAGTATGTTACATAGGATTCATGTGGCATTTTGAGTCCCTCTATGACCATGAGTCCTTTAGCAAGCTTTATTTTAGGTACATTGATTAATATCAAGGTGGGGAACAGCTTTTGTTTCTTTTGTTTCATAGTTTCTCTCCCCACATTTATTCTGATAATAACTTCCTTTTTTCTTCGACAAAATCTTTTCTAATCCTCCAATCATATTAGGGGTTCTGTTTGCCACAGAAACTTGTATATATAAGTACATACATAGTCACAGTAGTGAGCACATCACTAACTTCATTGTAAGCTTTGGTTTAAAAAAATCTATCCTGAGAACTCATCAACATGGCCCTCATTGACTGGTTTGAAAAGTGAACAATGATCCAAGCCAGGTCAATCAGAGTCCTTCTCTGGAAGTTTTTTGAAGGAGATCTAGGTTGGTAAATCTGTGAGGAGGTGATCTTAGAGGATGCTAATTGCCAGGCCCTCGATCATGTGGATAAAAATTAGTAAGAGAAAAGGAGATGGCGTGCTGGGAGAGACAGAGAGTTCTGAATTCTTGGTTCAGGTAACAAAATGTTCTGGAGTGTCCTGGTTCTTGCTTTCCCTCAGCTATTCAGTTCTTGTCGTAATTCGATGAGCAACCTCAATAAATTTCCTTTTTGCCCATGTTAGTTCACGTTGGAGTTCTTTTATTTTAGCCAAGAATAGAGTGTGTATGGGAATACACAGACAAAAAGATATATGTATCTCTCTTTCATCTATATTGTCTCATGGAATTCCAATTTTTCAGTCTTACTGTTTTCCAAGACTTAGGCAATATTTTTCCTTCTACATTCACTGAATTACCCCACTAGGGATAGCAAAAGGGGCAGAGTTAATTGTGATGTTAACATCACTACCTTAGAGATACACACACACACACACACACACACACACACACATACACAAACACACACACACACACACACATCTGGGTCCATATTTTAATGTTAATTTTCTTTCCTCCTTTCCTTGTGACTCAGTTCATATTGTCTTCTTTCTCTTCCTAAAATATAAACATATTTCCCCTTAAACCTAAAATTGGGAGATAGTGAAGAAGCTCAGCTTTTATAGTAGGAATATGATAAGATTTTGTTCTGAAACACTATGTAATCAGTCATTACTACCATGAAAATGTTATTTTGGAAAAAATGTTGAATGTCCCGTTACTTTAGCAATTAAGTTTGGTCTTGGACCGGTCATCTCAGAGCCTGGTATGATCTGGGTTGACATTCACATCCTGAGCTGAACTCCTGAGCAATTCTTGCACTTCGATGCAAGTCAGTTATTTACCATATCTTTTTCATATACTCTTTGACTTCCATTTCAGATTTTCAAAACGTATTCCATGATTTGGGAGGTAGATATTCTTCTTTGCTTTTGCTGGCAAGGGAAATCTATAATATGAAGTGAACCACAACCTAAAGTATTGTCTTTGTTCCTGATGAAAACATTTTTTTTTTTTTCAAAAACCTATGAGAGGCCAGGTGCCATGACCCATGCCTGTAATCTTAGCAATTTGGGTGGCCAAGGTGGGTGGATCACTTAAGGTTGGCAGATCAAGCCCAGCCTGGCCACCATGATGAAAACCCATCTCTACTAAAAATACCCCAAAAATTAGCTGGACGTGGTAGTGAATGACTGTAATCCCAGCTACTCAGGCAGCTGAGGCAGGAGACTCACTTGAACCCATGAGGTGCAGACTGTAATGAGCCAAGATCGCAACACTGCGCTCTAGCCTGAGCAAGAGTAAGACTCTGTCTCAAAAAAAGAAAAAAGTATAAGAAAACACAATAAGGTTAATCTCTTTTGATAACACATTGAGCAAATTTTATTGAAACAGAACTTTATTCATTGTATGTTCTTATAATCTGTAATAGCATCTTTTTTTTTGAAGGATAAAATACACACAGCTGATGAAGTTGCAGTGAAGTTTAACCAGCTTTTGGGATTAGCTTGACCACCTTTAAATGCACATCCCTTTCTTGGCCCTTTTCTGACAATATCTCCACATTTCTGCTTTTCCTGTAAATACTAACCAAAAGAATCTTTCCATTGACTTGCTGTCTCTAGATAGTTGCTGCAAGTCTAAAAAAATAAAAAGCCGAAGTGTGCCCATACCAAATCTGTATGAGACAATTGCTCTAACACACTGTAAGACTTATACTGCGGGGAAGAAGGCAGGCAGCCTGGGTTTCTCTGCCTTTCCCAATCACTTACATCCTAACAATAGCCTCTATTTCTGCACCTCAGTGCTTGTACTCACCTCCAGATTTTACGTGCGACTTTTTTCTTGTTTACAACTCCCTATATTCTTTAGAACTACCACGTCAAGCCCCTTCCAATTAATTTCTGAACGCTGAAATTTCACCTGTGTAAAAAAGTCTTTCCTAATTAATCTCATTTGGTTCTGATCTCCTACTTAGCAGTTTTTCAGAAATCTCCAACACGTTACACCTTTGGATGCATCACCTGGTCTTTCACTAACTTGTTCTCTGTGCATTTGGTATGACTCCCAGTTGGCTGCAAACTTCTTTGATGCATCTGCCAGCCCTTTGATGGTAATAATACTAATACTAAAAAGCTAGCATGCAGGTCTTATTATGCTCCAGACACAATGCTAAGTAATTTACTGGCAGAATATTTGAATACTGTCTGGCACGTAGTAAGCCATTAATACAAGTTTGTCGTTATTACCGTTTATAGCTCAATTAACTTGGTATTATTATTACTCCGTTTCAGGACAAGAAAGCTGTGAGGGACAGAGAATTACATAAATTGCTCAGAGTCACAGAGCTCATTACGTGGCAGAAACAAAACTTGGTGCCCATCTATTTGACACCAATACCCATCAATGTTCTTAATCATTACAAAAACAATTTGCTAAACACACACACAAATCAATCAATCCTTTTTGCAATCATACCTCTCCATTTCAGAGCAGCGTAAGCTGTATTCAAGGCAAGTTTTACCAAGGAATTCTTTCCCCTTTTAAAACGTAACTGTCTTAGAGATATAAGGAAAAAGTCACAGGTATTTGTATCTCCCTAGAGATTTTCATTTGAAATTTAGAGGCCACTGAAATATGTGTCCTTAGGAAGAACGAGTTTTTCAAAACTTCTAAGTTGCTAAGGAACTGCGTTTTGTGCTTTAACTATTAATATGCTACTTCGGTCAGTCACCAACATGTCATCTTTGCTTTGGTAGAAAGAGCTAGGCCATGTCCAGGGCTGAGCAATAGTAAAAGTTCATGAGTATATTGCTAATATAAATGATTGATAATACGAGCTCAACCCTGATCATGGTATGCCTCTTCTTACAGTTATTTTGAGTACATTTTCATTTGATGCTCACAATTGCTCTCTACTGTAACAGTTTTTCTCCTGGCCATGCTGTGAAATTGTACCGGGAGAAATGCCCACTTCTGCTCTGATCTCTCCCGAGTTCTGAAGAGCGCTTTTCCTTTCCTCCCATCTCCTTTTCCTTTCCTCTTCCTTCTGCCTCTCATAGGCTGCCCTGCCCTTTTCTTCCTTAGCTGCCTGAGCTTTCTTGAAGGGAACCAAGGGTCATAGACCCAGGGCCTGGACCCCTCTGAAAGCCTCCAGGGTCTCTGGAGAGCAGTCAGGTGACAGACTCAACCCAACCAGGCCCAGTGCCGTAACTTCCCACTTACGCAGCGGCACAGCGCCCAGATCCCAACCCTGCAAAACTCCCGGCTCCGCCACCACCAGGCATAACTGCCTCCCTCCAGGTTTCCACTCGGGGGAGTGAATGGGCTTGAAGGCGACTCCAGGTGCAGGAGGCACGTCGCGGAAAAACGTGTCATTTAGAAGAAAGTTCGTTTTCTACGGAGACTGCAGTTGGCAGCTGCAGCCCCAATCGGCTGCGAGAAAAGCTCCCCACCTGGGGAAGCGAGGCAGCTCCCTTGTGCGCTCGGCGGGGAGGACGCTGTGGCGGCGGGACTCGAACTCCGTCGTCTAGGGGCGCCCCGCAGGGTCCCGTCTAACGCCCGGACGGCGGGCCGCGTTGCAGTGGGAGGAAGCCGGTGTGCACAGCTGTCTTCGATCGGCTCAGGCTTCCGTTCCCTGCCTGCTCCCCTTTCCAGCCTTCCGCCCCAGAAATTATCTCAAGCGTTCCCAGTTTGATTCCAGAGCCCCGCTCGGGTGGGTTCTTTTGTTTCTTTGTTTTAATGACAGTTCCCAGCCCTTCGGCATGTCATGAGCAATTAATTCCCTGGCTCTCACGAAGGCAGCTGGGGTGAAATTTCTTCTGCATCATCCTTTTGGGGATAATTGTTTATGATGTGACGTCAGTCGGATTGATTTTTCTCTCTTGAATGAAGAGTGGGAGGGGTGAAAGAGACAGACAGAGAGAGAGAGAGAGAGAGAGAGAGAGAGAGAGAGAGAGAGAGGCGCACAGATGTGCACGGAGGCCACAGACACTGACATTTGGAATTCCTTCAGGGTAAAAGGAGATTGGAATGGGAGCTTAAGCGTGTATGGCTAAGGTTTCAGACTGCACGGAATTGTTAAGTTTTTCTTAAAGAAAGAAAAGGACCCCTCCTCCGCAGCGAGCCGCTTAGGTGCTCCTTTCACGCCAGAGTCCCCTGTTAAGGTGGCAGCGCCTGATAATTAATCTCGGGCGCCCAGCCGCCGCTGTAAGCTTTTAAGGAGACGACCAGGAGGGGCGGGGGAAGTGCGTCACCAGGTGGGGAAGGGGCTGTGTGTTCGGTGACAAGCGGGAGGCGTTGGGGGTGGAGGGGAATGGGGACGGGAAATAGGTTCTGTGTGCTCTCCGGGGGTATTGTGTCAGGAGATGCAGGCTGGCTACCATGTGACGCGGTCCAAAGCTGAAGGGATTGGCCGAGGCAGCGCAGGCGGTGCAGCTCGGCCGGCTTGCCGTTCCTCTCCCTTTCTCTCAGCATCTTCCTGGTAGCCTGCCTGTAGGTGAAGCAGCACCAGCAGCATCCATGGCCTGTCTTTTGGCTTAACACTTACCTCCTTTGGCTTCGGCAGCGGACGGAACAGACCTCAGCAGCGGCGTGGTGAGGACTTCGCTGGGACCTGGAATCGTATCCTCCTGTGTTTTTTCAGACTCCTTGGAAATTAAGGAATGCAATTCTGCCACCATGATGGAAGGTAGGATGCTTTCTGCTGTGGTTGACGGGCTTCAGGCAAGGTTTGAGCAGAACAGCATTAAGGGATGTGTGCAGCCAGTGTATCTGGCGGTTCTAGAACCTGGTGGCCAACGTTTTGCAAGCAGAAATGCTGCAATTTGCTTGCCGTGGATCTGGGCTCAGACTGATGGAATCAAACCACAGTGCTGCTGCCTAGCTCAGAACCTACAGAGCTCCCAGCTCCTTTGAGAGAGAAAAGCTTAAAGTGTTTGCAGGAAGCTGAGATAGAGCTAGGAAAGAGCTTGCAGAGCAAATAAGTTGGGCGAGAAGATAAGGTTTTCTGTTCTGGGTTCCTGAGACTACACTGATTAAACATTTACAATGGAAACTTGTTTTCTGAAATTGACATTAGACAGGAGAGGTCATTAACAGAGTTATCCATACTGTCATTTCAGTACACTGTTTAAAAATTCTCATAAGGTATTTTTATCTCTGCAGTTTACATGAAATTATTGGGATGGGGAGGGCAGCAAATTTGGTCCATAAACTGTAGTTGTATGAGAATGTCATTGCAACAGAATGAACAACATAAGGGAAATATCCGGGCCTCTTGGCTCCTGATTCAGGGTCTTATCAGGTTAAAAAAGAATTTTGTGCTCCCTAAATGCTTTCCCTATCTAATGGTTTTTAGCCAAGCATCAAATGATTACTTGCTGATTATCTTTGTGCATTCAATGTTGAGTGTAAGGAGGAACTTTCCCTGGGGAGATGCCATTTAAACTATATTTTATTCTACTAAATTATCCTTCCCAGCCTGAAATTGTGACAGCCAAGATTGTCTTAAAACAGCAGCAAGCTGATCAGGAAAGAAGCAAGCAGCTCTATGCAGGCTTTGATTTTCTGTTTTCACACTACAGGATGGTGCAAAACTCCTGGCCTTTCCTAAGATGACAGGCAGAAATTTGTCCCCAGCCTGGATTTCACAATGCAGAATTGAGTGCATAATGGGTCTCAAATCAGCCATGAAAATGGCGAGAGGCCACCACTTAAGCCAAGGTCTGTCCTACGGATGTTAACTGTTCCTTAGGAATTTACCAAAATGGAATAAGAGGAGGATGGTTTCGTAAAAACAGCAGTGTAGCCTGTACTTATTTGGCAGAAATGAATTCGTTCTTTTTCCTCTCCCTGTCATCATGTCAAACGTTGTTAATGTGATTTGAGGGAGTTAAGAATTCTAGAGTCGAAACCCACAGATTTTAGAATATAGCCTTGAAAGAGAGGTTGGGTGTGATTTTGTTATGGAGCTGGGTCTTGTTTGCAAAAAGCTCTCAAGCTAGTTCTTTAAATCCAGGCCTAAATAAATTGAGATTGCTAACACTCTCAGATTCAATCATTTTCGTAAATTCAAAATGGATTGTCTTTGAATAACAAGGCAAGAGAAACAGAAAGATTATTATTTATGCACTTTTCAATTAAAAGCTCACGTGGATTATCTTTTTCAGAAAAAAATCTTGCCTATAGAGGTACTGTATTTATTCAGCTCAATTTCATATAGCATTTCTTAAAAATGCATCTGCACACATTCTGATTAGATTTCAGTCTTACATGGAGAATTAGATGCTCTTTATTTTTGCTTCTTTCCTTGCTAACTATGGCACTAAAGTATCTTCTCTGAAGGTTGTAACATTTTCTGATGCTCATTAATGATTCTCCTGGTAATATGGTCTATTGTGCCATCCAAGAATGTCAGTTCAAAGCCCTGTGATAAGCTTATCCAGGCTGCCTAAACCAAAATGAGAACCACAACAAAGACTTGTGTTGGAGCTGAATTAGCACTATTGCTCTGGGTTTGCCAAATTTTTCTAATGGAGGATGTTATCTTAGCACTGGTATGAATTAGAGGTGACACTATGGATACAGTTGTCTTTCACCAGATCTTTGCAAGAGAAATTGGACAGGTGTTCCCACTGGCTTAAATACTAAATGAAATTAACATTTATTTCTATCCGTAGCTCCTACTTAAGTGTTTTTAAGCCTTATTATCTTAATAGTTCAGTGACCTTAAAAAGGCAAATAGTAGCTTAACCAAAAATCAATTTGCTATAAATGGCCTTCCAACTTAGTTGCCAGTCTTTTTGGCAATATGCATTCATGTTTCTGGTATTGCATGGCAGAATTTCACCTCTGAATTGCTCTTATTCTGAAGGCGTGGTATATCATTATTATTTCCACTTAACTCATCTCTAGAGATAGCTAGGCTCTGTACATCTACCACAATAACCTTGGAAAAAGAAGGAACCCCATAAAAGGCATCCCAAAATTGTCATGGCAGCTCTTTGTTGAAACATCAGTGGACTCTGAGAATGTGCCACCAAATATCTAGTTAAAATCATGTTTCTTCTCAACCATTGTGTCTCATACACACACATAGAGTCATCCACATGAATATATTTCTGGAGAGGGAGAAAACATATAGTTGCACTCTTGTGTATGTACATTTCTATATTGCTAATGTGTTTTAGTCTGCTGCTCAGAAAAAGCATGGCCATGGCAGGTTTTCAAAGGCCCTTCTTGACTTTGTGTAAAGTAAGAGTAAACAAACATTCAGCAGAATGGGTCATAGCAAACTATGTTTGGTTTGTGTGGAACAGGACATAGGCTCCATTCATTCAATGCCCATTGGAAATCCATCTTTGTCATAGATGAGGGATGCTACTACCTCCTCAGTGATCCTAACATCATGGAAGTCAACGAAATAATTCCCCAGGGACCACAAGCCTGTGATCAGTAGTTTATGGCTTCATGGTTCGTTTAACATATTTTAATTAAAAAATATATTTTTAAGGGACTTGATTTGCTGCTTCCTGTACGCTTTATCTTTTGGCAGTGGTTGGCATTGAGTTATTTCTTTTCTAAAGAAAGCCACATGATGTGGAGCCTTCTGTAGTATGAATAAGAAGGGAAAGATGATGAGCAAAGGGAATTATTCACTACGGAGTGTACTTATTGGCTAAACTTACAATGCAGTCTATGTGGTTAGGGCAACTATTCAAGGACTAATGTTTTACATATATTATTATTAAAGTTTGAAAATAGCATGCTTTAGCTATCCTTTCTGAGTGAAACTAAGTCAGAGTTTCTTGGGCTATCCGTCTGTTTGTGAGGCTGTCTAGAGAGTACTTTCCTTGTTCATGTAGACCCAACTGAAAGTGCTTTGTGTTTTTAGTTCCATATTCAGGCTCTTAGGAGCCATACTAGAAAGATAAGTTTCTGGGTACCAATGGTTTCATTTCATTCAACAATTTAAAAAATTAACAAGCATATGTTTTTAAGGGCTTACGGGGCTTAATTATAATATTCAGGGTAATTTAATATATTTTATTATATTTACTACTCATAATAACCTGAAAACAAGTATATTGTATATACAGTGCTTTTTTTGGTCCTTTTCTAAATTTCAAAAGTAAAAATAATGCATTGAGGCAAAAAAGTGATGGAGTGGAATTTGAACCTACATTCATTTAACAACAAAGCTCATGTTTTTGAACATCCAGGAACCTCTTATTTTTACTTTACATCAGGTTGGGCATGTTAACCTAATTGAAAAATAGGCCATAATGCCTTTGGTTGCATATTTTGTCTTTCTGTTTTAAATATGCATATTCATAGAACTATACCCTTTAATTTCTTATTAATGCATTTTATGTCCAAAATCACTATTTTAAAAAATTTGCATAATTCAAGAGTAACTAAATTTCTGTTGTTGCAATAAATCTTAAACAGTAAGAGTTTCTTCTTTTCCTATCTAGATATGGAGTTTTATTAAAATAACATTTGGAAAATTCTTTGGTTTGGTCAGAAAAGAGCAAGACTTCTTGAAGCTGGAGCTGTTCATTTTATAGTTAGCTAAGAAGTTTTAAAGGGAATGCTTCTAATTTTTCTACTGATTCTCTTCTTTGAATGATGAAAATACTTTAAAGTCTAAACATGCAGATATAAGATTCTAATATATGTTCCATCACTTATGTAATTTCTCATCTTCTCCAGTGTTCTGTGTCATAAAAAAACCTCTTTAGCTGTATATATTCCCATCCAAATTTCAGGGGTCAACATTAAACTTCTAAAAAGAATATGTAGTCTTTTAAAAAGTTAACTTAGATAAACCATACTAGACGACTCTGGATCATTCTGTCTGTTGGATGTAGCACACACACTATCCTTGTTTCAAATAAACAAGGTACAGGAAGTCACCAATTCACAATTTTTATGTCCTTGAAAGTTTGTTTATGAGTTGGTTACTTGGAACATGTGTTCCCTCAGGAATAGTGATACAAAATTATGCAAATTTTTAAAAATAGTGATTTTGGACATAAAATGCATTAATAAGAAATTAAAGTGATACAAATGGTACTTAGAGTCTTTCACGAGTCTGTCAAAAGCTATTAACCCAATATCTAGCTAAAATACAAATATTTGCTATAAAATGTGTAAAGGCCAGTATGGTTCCCATAGTAATCAGATAGAAGAAAATTATGGCATTAATATGTTTTTAATTTTGAATGTTACTGTTTGAGGGAAAGAAGCTATAGTTGAAGGAAAATGAAAAGCTGGAGAGAAAATTTCAAGGTATTTTTAGAATACCTTCAAATACTTTAGGTATTTTGAGAAGTTGTAGATATGACACTGGATTTTTCAATTATGTTCAATTTTACTTCGATACTGTAGCTTCCCTTTTCTCAATTCAATTTTATCATATAAACTGCTTTTAAATCATGAGTAAGGTCATAATGTAAACTCACAGATGGAATTAAAAGTGGGAGAGAGAATTTACTGAGATAACAATAAAAGAAGTCAGAAGAGAGAAAAATGATAAGGGATTATAATGAGTTCGAGCTCGTGTGTCTGAGTAAGTTCCTTTTGGAGAAATTAACTGAGTAAGAAAGAGGTCATAGGTAAAAGGGAATTGGGAAGCATAGTAAAAACAGGGAAAAGTAGGGTGTGAGGCAGAGGTATAGGGTCGAA